AAAAAAAAAAAAAAAAAAAAAAAAAAAAAAAAAAAAGGCCTTATTTGTGATTAGAGGTACATTTAGTTTTCTAGTCTACTGACCTCTAATGATAGAAACATACTTTGTTTACTGGTGCAAAATATAGGAAAAAAATTGAAAACAATCAACAAATACTAAAGAATACTCTCATGTTTCTGTGTCTTTCACTAAAAAATCAAAAAAGCAAGACCAATTAAAAGTATACTTTTAATTATTTTATATTATTTCAGTAGCCAATCAACATTTTACAAGATGAAAACCCCAAAATGAATAACTTCTAATAATGGCCTTAATGTTGAAAATATCTGGCTCTTTCATATTAACAACTAACTTTAACTACAATCCCAAAGTATAAGCTCTACTATTTAAAAGATTAATGGTCAGTAGTCCCCGGAGGCTTTTTCTATTGAGCATACGTAGATTATTTGTTACTTGTACATCAAAGTAAATGTAATAGCAAAGTAGGCTTTTTGAGATTTTCTTAAAAATCTCTGCCTTTGTAAGGTGAGCAAAGTAAATCCTACAATTTTGAAGCCAACTTACTACAAATTCCAATATTTTATCAGCCAAGTGAGCTGAGGGGTACTTTTTAGAAATGGGACTCAGTTGGTAGGACTGCAAATTTTCTGGTGGGTACATTTCTAAATGCTAACTCCGGCAAACATTCTAAGTTTACATACAGTGGCACCTGGTTTGGAGGGCTCATGGATAACTCTTAGTGGGGCCTGAGGATAGCTGAGTAGGACTGAGATTTATAGGTAATATTTTCATACATAGAATATCAAGAAACTTAAAAAAAGGGTGAGGATTACTAGTATGTGTATGTAGATAGCCATGATCTTTTACAGAACAAGGACACCAAAGATAATATTTAAATGTTAAATCTGGGTAGAAGTTTTATCATTACATCATAATAAACTACCATGTGAAATATCCATGATCTCATATGAAGAAAATGGTATCTAAAATGTCTTCTAACTAGAAAACAAACTATTTTCTACGTGCCACTGATAATTTTCAACATTATAAAGCCTTACCTGCTTATCCAGGCTTCACAGTTAATAATCTACTCAGTAACATACTAACTACACTACTAAGTTGAATTATATTAGTACTGAATGACTACTATCCCATTGTGTGGATTTTCCGAGATAAAGCTGGGATGACAGTGCCAAAATCTAAAACATAATTCCTATACTCAGAGTTAAGTATCAGTCACTAATTAGCAGTAAGAGTTAGTAAATATAATTCTTTAAAGAATTTATACCAAAATATCTGTCCCAATTTTGAATCAAAATTTTAAAAATCAGTTCAAACTCAAGCCCTTGCACTTGCGAGGCAGGCGGCAGAACCATGGAGCCAAATCCCTGGCCCTATACTGGTAATTTTTCCCTTGTCTCTGAGCATAACTGAAATTATAAATCCTCAAAATTTCTGAAACAGCTAAAATATATTATACATTTTAAAGCAACTTCCTAGTTTTTATATAAAATATACATATCTCATATCAGGGAAAAAGCCAACCAACAAATCAAACAAAAAAACTACTGATAAAGAATGTAAAAAAAAAAAAAAAAAAAAGCCAAAAGTCTACTAAAAATATTGCAATAGGGGTTTTCGCTTAAAATTTTTATTTGCTTAAAAATTACAAAAACTGCTAACAAACATTAAGTCACCAACATCATCACTTAATGAATAAAATGGAATCCTGATCACAGACTCTCCTCCCACACCTTATTTATTCCCACCCTCTGAGGTTAAGAAGACCAAGAAGTAACAACAACAACAACAACAACAACAAAAACAAGATGGAAATCTTAGCTCAGAACTTTCTTGCTTTTAAAAGTTTATGACAGACAGCAAACAGAAAGCTTGCAATAGTGAGTATGTGTGAGAAGCACATTCAGAGCATTCCAGCCAGGCCAAGCAGCAATTTAGTACGGAAAACTCTCACACTTACAAACACACGCTGTGAGGGTGAGGCACAAACAGCATCTGTAGTTTATATTTAGTTTGCTTTGGGTGAAAACAAGAAAGAAGAGCCCAACTACCTCTGAACACTGGGCCAGGCTCAAAATCAAACACTATTTCACTGGGGACAGAATGTAGGAGGGGACTGGGAGTCCGGGATTGGTATTTCCGAAGACAGCGCATCAGCTGGTTCAAGGGGGCTGTTAGAAGAGAAAGAGAGGGGCAGGCAAACACAGGAAGACAGACACACAGAAGAAATGAAAGAAGTCACGGGGAATAAATAAGATGAACTGAAGCCTGCTTCACAAAATAATTCTGGTCATTTAAAAAAACTGCTAATTTTCATAAACTCCCAATGATATTTTAAAAGGTGACTCATAAAATGGACAAGAAATGCCACTTATTTTAGGTACCAAGCAGGCTGTGTTTATGACAAAGTTAACTCTACGACGCTAATATGATGGCAACATTTAAATGCTGGATGTACTGGGCAAAATTATCAAAAGCCATAGCTATAAAGACATACGAAAATCAAACTGGCAGCAACATTTAATTGGTGGGTTCACAGAATAACAAACAGAAAAAAACCCTTTGTATAACTAAGCGCTACAGTAGTTAATACTAAGTCCAGAGTATATAATGCAGGCTTAGCAATTTTAGTAGCATCACAGCTGTACAGAAATATAACAAAAGAAGGTTATACAAGGTTTACTCAATATAAATATCTTGGAATCTGGGTTTGGATATTTTGAAGATACAGAAGGGTCAAAGTGGAGAGACTAGCTCTAAGCATGATACACAGTTTTATTACAGGTCTTATTAGGCAGAAGACAGCTGAGAAGGGAGATATGGAAGACCTCCTTCAAGAAGATGCCAAGATAGTGTCAACTATGATCTCTTAGAAAACATATAGGCCCAGTTAATTTTTATAAAAAAATGTTTTCATAAGCTATTTGTCTTTGCTAGTGAATAATAAATGAAAATTCTCTAAGAAATCTCAATTCAATGTCTCTTTTGCTCATTTTATTTACTAAACAAGAGGCAACTGAGTTTTTCTATTATGGATTCATTCTATAAAATGTACATTTCATGGACTTCCAGAATGTTGAAGGGTAGTGGTTAATAAAGTCTGACAAACTGAGAAGTTGTGGCAGGCAATCCAATAATACTTCAAGAATGATTTCACAAAATTAAATTTTATCTGATACTAAGCTCAATCTTTAAGTATCAGTGGAGGCCTCCAATGCAAACTTAGGAGCTCCAGCTTTGGAGATGGTAGAAATAAAGTGAGTAAAATATTTAAGGACCTCTCCTTGGTACAGTATTTTAAAACTGTAGATCATATACTTAAGACTCTTTCATTTCCCTCATTTTCTCTACTCATGAATTAGTTAACATTTTATTAGTAATAAATGATAAATACTATTGAAAAAAATTTAGATTTTTCTCTACACATTTTTCTCTGTGTCTGTTTCATGAAAGAAGCAAATATAAAAGAGACAAGCAGCAAAGCAATTGCATTTTTCCTAGATTTTTACAAAAACTGAAATCATTACTTACCTCCATCACTACGAAACCCTTGGTCTCTAATCAAATCCTAGAAATAAATGGTAAAGTATATTTATTCAAAGCATACAGTAAGAAAGAGACAACACTGAATTTTCCACTATACATTAACAGAAAGAGTAATTTAAGACACGTGTCTTAGCATTTCTTTGCAAAACAGAGAATATGAAATTAACTAGTGTACACGATAAAAACTAAATTTTGAAGTACTTGGCAATCTAACCCTATTCTGAAAGGATCATTCAATGGTCTTGATCAAATGAAATCCATTTCAGGCCAATCAAAATGGCCAGCAATCCTTAAAGAAAATTCTACTGGCACATATTAAGAGCCATAAAAATGTTCATACCCTTTGATCCTGTAATTCCACTTCTGGGAATTTTTCCTAAGGAAATAATTCAGAAGAAAAAGATGATATGCACAAAGATGTTTAGTGCAACATTATCTGTCATACTAAAAGATAAGAAATGATTATTTTTGTATTACAGGAATTCTGACAGAATATGGTTAAGTCATAGTATATCAATTTAATGAAGTATTTATGCAGTTACCAAAACAATTCTGAAAGCTAAATCATGAAACATGTTTACAATAGAAAAAAATACAAAATTAAAAGTACACTGAATACCATCACAAAAATATGAGCGTACAAGGACACACTAGTCAAAACAACTCAAATAAGAACTTTGTTAAAATGTCTCTATTATTAAAATATAGCTTTTTACAGTAATGTTGGAAGTGGAGGAGTCTCTCCTGGCAATGCAATTTGGATCTGGATAGGCAGAACTTGGACTGATTTATTTAACGTGAATGTGCAGGATTGAGTGGCCCCAAATGTCTCTAGGCCCTTTGCAAACAGGCAGCTTCTAGCTTACTGGCTAAAATAAAGAGTATATTCTTTACAGGTATATTTCTATCATGTTCAATGTATTACATAAGGCCTTCATGTTTTACAGCATCAACAAATACTCATATAACTTCAAAGTGGTAGGCATCAGTGGTTGCGTGGTTATCAGCAACTGTAATGAGATCCTGGTAATCTCATTACCTTTCTGTGGTTTTGAGAGTTTTCAATTTTTAATTAAAACAAAACACATAATCCACAACCTCACTGAAGTGAGATATACACATGAAAAATATTTATTAAAAATATAATAAAAGTTATCAGTTTGTTGTGTAGTTACTGCTAAGTGTACTAGTGATAAGATTTTTTAGTGCTACCTGTAAGAAACTATTTGGTCACTGATGGAGCATTCAAAGGAATGTCTCTGAACTGTGGTTTGAGGAAAAGACAGGAGTGTAGAAATGCAAATGATCCAGAAGAGAAAGGTCTATTTTCTTTTTGCTGTTCCAGTTTGAAACTCACAAAAACTATGGATTAACCAAATTTGCCTTTCTCTACTGTTATAAGGTACTGCTAGTGCCAATATGAACTTACATCTTAATTTCAAATGTGTTCTTAAAGTGTCTTGATAATTTTTCTACTTGTTCTAGGTTAAACAGGATAGCCTATCACTTCAAAACTGGCTATTTCGAACTTTTCCCCACTTTCTTATATTCTTTCTCTTATATCCCTTCTGTTTAGCATGATAGAGATAAACATTAAAGAACTTTCAGTCCTGCCTATCTATATTTATACAGTAGTATTAGCTATAATTTATTAGCTGTAGTTCTTAATCTGTAGCAGGTATAAAAAGCATTTCAAACCACTACAGGAGGCAAACATTATCTACTTCAGGAATTAAGTATTTACCCAACATCACACAGTACAAAAAGAGCTATGCCCATCTTTTAATTCCCAATAACCTCAGTGGTACATCATTTCCAAGTTCAAGGAATTTTACTACGTCAAGTATTCTCTATTTTACTATCTTCAACCTCTCTTCACAGGATTCTTCCTTTCTAATTATAAATATCCTGAAGTCTCTTACATTAAAAACAACTGCTCCTTAGCCCTGTATCAAGCTACAGCTCTCCGTCATTCCTTTACAAGCAAAGCTCCTATCCTATTTCCTTGCCTGCTTTCCTGTTTCCTAAAAAATACTGATGGTACTGGGGTAGAGCCCAGGGACTTAGGCATTTAGGCAAGCACTCTATTATGGGAGCTATCCTCTGAGACCCAAAATAACATTTTAATTGCCAGAACCAATAGTCATTTCAGTCTTAATAAGACATCAACCACTACAGTTTTCCTGAAGTCCTTTTTTCTCCCTTTGATCTCAGCAATACTATCTTGTTTTTGCTATCTGGAGCTACGCTTAGGAAGAAGAGCCCATAAGGGTGACAAGAGAACAACAACCTATGCCTAAACCTCAACTATTGCACTTTCTGGCCTCTTTTTACATTTTACACTTAATTTACATTTATTGAACAATATCACTTAAATCCATGACTTTAACTGCCACAAATATGCTAATTTGCTTCTAAATCTATATCTCCTTATGTTCAACTCCTCTTGGACTTTTAAACCTCAAAGTCCCATAGATATTTTAAAGTTAGTATTTCCAAATTAAAAGTTAGCATTTTTGTTTAAATAAATCCTGTCCAGGTCTATAAGCCAGGTATCTATGAACTAGAAATTTGGGCATCAAGGTCTACACCTCTTCCATCATCTCTCCCTACTACTACACAGTATCACAGGTAACCAAAAGAAAGGAAGACCAGGTTCAAATCACTGAAGCCCACTTTAATAATGTATCAGCTGTGTGGTTTTGGGTATATTTCTTAACCTCTGTATATCTAACTTTCATAACAGTAAACAACAGCAAAGTAAAAACAATAGTACTTAACTCATGAGTTAAAACTCGGGACAAGAAACTGCCTTAAAGCACTCAGCATAATACATAGTACCTGCCACACAATAAGCACTCATAAATAGTAGCCACTTTTAAGATTCCTAAAAGTCTTACTACTAATTCACTCATTTATTGTTTCCTCCCTCAAACTTACTAATTCTTTCACCACCAATGCTACTACTAGAGTTTAAACCTTTATTACCTATTATCTGCAATACTGCAAAAGCTACATAGCTAAATGCCTTTAGATGTGGTACCCATTTGACCTATCTTCCATACTACCATCAAAGATTTTTCTAAAATATAGAGCTGACCTCTCATACTCAAAAGTGTTTCAGACTCCCTACTACTACTTTAGAGACTTTAGAATAATACCTAAAGCTTTTCAGCCTGGACTTTAACTAGTTTCATCTTCTATCATTCACCAACCTTCTGAACCCTAAACTCCTACAACATCAACTATCAATTATATCCACGTAAAGGCACTTCTATACCTTTGTACTACTTCTGTAACAAATAGCTTTCCTTCTTAATTCCCTATCTGGTGTATAAACATTCTTACTCATTCACTTTTTGCAATCTAGTTTCATTGCTATCCCTGCTGCAATATATTCCTAGATCCAGTCAGAGTTTGTTAATCTTTCTCTAAACTACCGTTCTATTTTTTGTGATTATTTATGTATACATCTGATCCATCCACTAAACTTCAACTTCCTAGAGGGCAAATATCATGTGCTAACGCATCCTTAATTTCTAACTGCTAACCCAGAGTCAAAAGTAAATCTTTTTGGTGGAACATAAATGAAGCTAAAGTTTAAAGGTTATCTTGTTAGGAATGCTAAGTCACTGAAAGTTTTGAAATACGGGAATAGATGGTAATAAAGATGTTATTAAAAATAATCTTTACAATAGCACAAAGAATGGAAATAGAAATCAATTGTGAGAAATCCATTTAGGAGGTAAATTTAGTAAGTAGTTTAAATGAAGAAATATGGGCCTAAATAGTGGTAGTGATAAATAAGACAGTTTGAGATGCCCAGGAAAAGGTAATGACCGTTTGGTTATGAGAAGGATGAAAAGATAAGATATAAAGTGATACTTCAAAAGTTCAAGGCTAAGAGACTAGGAGAACAGTGGTCACAATTAGAGAAAAAGAAAATAGTTTAAAAGGATGTTACTGTTGAAAGTAACAATGAAGGTTACAATTTTGGATGTACTCAGACCAGACCTAATGTAAAAGTATGTTTTGGGTTCTTAGTATTTCATAAACTTTTAATTTCTGCATTTCCCTTTCCTACTTCTTCCTTTGTATTCAAAGGACGTATTAGTTAAAGAAAACTGGCACCAGGAAAAAGCTAAGTAAATGACCTGCCTCCCCAAAAGGGAAAAAGTTTCATAGTAAAAAAGTGAGAAGAAAGTCTAATTTTGGACCTTATGTTGAAAAATAAAATCTATAATAAAGTTTTTCTAAAATTTAAATGATAGCTCCAACCACATGCTAATTCTTAAATACAGAATCATGTTTTTCTTGGTTATGCCAAGCTGATAACACTAACAACTGAAATTATAAATTTCATATTGATCTTTTATAGCACAATCATAATAAATTTTATAAACATTTTAGAGGACTTCATGGGTTCCGCAAAGGCCTCTATCAATCCTTTGATATTTAAACTATTTTGTTTTGTTTTTGGTACAGGGGGTCGAACTTGGGACCTTGCGCTTGCGAGGAAGGTGGCGGCACCACTGAGCTAAATCCCTGGCCCTATTTGAACCATTTTAATAAAACTTTCATAGAGATGATATCCTAAAATAGTCAGAATAACCCTGTAATTTGGCACCAGTGAAGTATTTATCAGGGAAGATTACAGACTTTTCTGGTCTCAGATTCATATAAGCCCTAGCATTTAAAATAACTATGATGAATGAAAGATGGCACTTATTTCTGATCTATATTGTAATTATAGTGGAAAAATAAAGAAATACACCTGAAATGTTTTAGTTGTAGCAACAATGGATACTTACATCAATATTAACAGGTTCTATCGTATTTATATGCACATTTGGAGCAGATGAAGACCGGTCTCGCTGCCCAAATTGATTTCGATGATCTTCATCTGCTGGTCGGAAAGGCTGTGGAATTGGAATGGATTTTGAAGGAGATGGGCTGGTGAGAATTGGGGGCCTGGAAAAATCAAGTCATTGGAAGGTAAGATTCAGAGAAACTATATACATAGAGACAATATTTAAAAATGGAAGATATAAAGATTTTCTTATTTAATATAAAAATCTTTGGAGCAGAGGAATTCCAGCAACAATGGCTGTATGAAAAGCATTAAGTTTAATAAACTAACACACTACAATGACTCCTACCAAAGCTGTGTTTCTAGAGCAGAGGGTGCAGGGATTATTAGTGATAAGAACACTGATTCTTACCCAGGAAATTCCAGGGAATCTGTGCTTACAAAATGGCTAGAAATAACCTGCATCTAGTCAACTGAAGATGCTCTTATCCATACAAAACTGATCTAGGCAGAGACTGACAACAAAATTAGCTAATGTTTTTTCTAACTTTGTATTTCTTGGTATCTGAGGTTACTACAATAAACATTTTGTGAAATATATTATAAGTTGTGTTTTGAGACTTGCATGCATTTCAGGACCTGAAAGATGCACCAGTTGCTTTACCATCAGAATTGAATGAAAATTCTGAACAATATCAAAAGATCATTTCCAAATTCAGAATATGACCTTCATAGTGCCAAAATCTTGCATTGTGAAACTTTTATCATGTCCAAGTACTGATATAAGAGACACAGAAAATCATATACTAAATACTAAAGCAAATATTTTTAAAAATTGCTTTTTTATCAAACCACCAAAGTAGGTCACAGGGTCACCTGTTTTGGTACTGCAGAAAAGTAACGAAGTCTATGCTCTCTCACTGGCTCTAAAGTGAATCTAACACAGAAAACCTGAAATTTTAAGAATAAACTGTAAGCACCTACAAAGAGTCTATATGCTCTTCAGAAAAGATACCCCCAGTTTCAAGGCAGTGAGTCACTGGGTTTGTGAGGCACAGCTGTCTTGCTGAGCTCCATCAGGGCCAATAAATGACTGCGTTCACAAAATCATTTTATATACTGGTTATCATTCTACCCTATCTCCTGCAAACTCTCAGTTATTAGGACAGAAAAACAACGTTGAGTGAATAAAAAGCCATTTGTGAGGGGCGAGGATTTGGATAGGAATGATATAGTAGGAAAAAGAACGGAGCAAAAGTTCAACAGTGACAAAAAGCCATTGAATAAAGTATCTCAACAGAATCAGAACTATATTATCAGTTTATAGTTTTACTTTTCTGAACACATTAAAGACAGGGAAAGAAATTTTGATTGTATATATTCATAGTAACTACACGAATCCATTTAGAATCGATATGCAAATAATAAAATGTCAAATTCTAAAAATGAGCCCAATTACAATTTTAGTTAACTCATCTTTTGGGAAATTAGCATGACATTTCACCCTGTTTATGCTTCCTGCTTATTGAGAAATTCTTAGATTGTGATATAGTTGCCTTTATTCTTGCCTTAGGTAGTCAAATGTCCTTTGCTAAGAAATGCTGGGTGAAGTTAATGTTTTGGGAAGTACACTGACTGCTAAACTATTTACAAGGCTGCTATTAGGTTTTAGGGCAACAGTCCAGTTTAAATCAGACTTAAAACTGGAAAAGGCCTGAACGAACTAGAACTGTAGAGGACCATGTAATAAATAACTGGTCTGGTACAGACAGAAATGGCAGTAAGTTACTCCTCAGGACTATGACAGAAGCAGCAAATTGGAACTATGCATGCAAGAGAGAATGATTCAGAAGCAAGAAAATCAAACACATGCATTTAATATGGTAAATCTCATTATTATAGCTGAATAAAAGAATGGCTATACGGTACATGAAGATGAGATTTCTGCCTATTATACAAAATCAGAGGCTAATATCACCTGGTGGGGAATGTATTCCTTGGTCCACGCTATTTAGCAGTAAGGGCAAGTATAACAATTTTAGAGAATACTTCACATTATCAAGTGTATTAAATGTCTGAACCATGTCCTAATTCTATACTTAACACAAACACTCTTCTGATTATAATATGGTTTCCCATCACCATTTTCCAAAAGAGCAGTAGGTGCTGATCCATCTAAGATAAGATATCTGACTTATATAGCTGGTATATTTCTTATTGAAATCAATTATTTGGTACTCTTAGTCTGTTTTGATTTTGTTGAATGTAAATTTATTTAGTTACTAATTCTAATCATTTGTGGGAACTGATAAAATTGAGTTTCCACACTGGGAAGTCTTTACCTAGACCAAGGCAATTTATATTCTAAGTAACTTGGCAGTAATCCAACTGGCTCCCTCCACAAAATACATGTTTATGGATCCTGCTGTATCTTTAAATCAATACAAATAAAAAATTTTAAAGTCTTTACAATTGTTTAGTAAATCACCATTAATTTAGATTTTTTTTTTGTACTGGAGATCAAATTTGGGACCTTGTGCTTTCAAGGAAGGTGGTGGAACCACTGAGCTAAATCCCCAGTCCTAGATCTCATTTTTAAGCTAGAATATTCAAAACTTTTGCAGCAGAATGACTACTTTTATTCAGTAATATGCAAATTTTAAAATTGCATCATGGTGTTCTGTAACTCTGCTCAAAGAACTGGGACCCACCATTATAAAGGGCCTGTAGTCTAGAGAATCTATCAGGAGAAAATGTCACACAGCTAAAGGATTAATTAAAAACCAAAACAAACAGTAACATTTTTATTTGATTGTCTAAAAAACACACAGCTGCATACAACTAATGATAGAGCCAGCAGGAACAAAATGATTAGCAAAGGAGGTAACTGTTACCTCCTGACAAAAGAATGTAGTGGTTGCATTTTCTAGCTGTTCCAAATGGAGAAATATGCCCACTCTTTAATACAAAAGTCTTCTGTTAATTTTTCTAACCTATGAGATATTTAGGAAGATTGGCTTCACAGAAAGTACAGATCTATAAAGCATGCCTATAATCCCAGCACTCAGAAGGCTGAGGCAGGAGGATCGCCCCAAGTTTGAGGCCAGCCAGCCTGAAATACATGGTGAGTCCCTCTCACAAAAAAAACAAGAAAGAAAGAAAGAAAGAAAGAAAGGGAGGGAAAGGGAAGGAAAGAAAAGAAAAGCTCCAGAGCATACTATCACTTAACTCATTGTTGCGGGTCCATTTTCTTCCTACCTTGAAGTTGAAATACATGATACTTTTTCATTGCTTATAAAGCCATTGCTTTATTTTCCGAAACTGACAATACTATTGATTTTTCCTTTTCCTTTTTTTTCTTTTTGTTTTTTTTTTAAGACAGGGTCTCAAGAGATTGACCTGGAACTCACTATGTAGCCCAGGTTGGTCTCAAACTCAAGTGATCCTCCTGCCTCAGCCTCCTGAGTGCTGGGATTACAGGTGTGTGCCACCATGCCCCTATATTGATATTTCTTTTGCCCTTTTGGTCTCAAACTCAAGTGATCCTCCTGCCTCAGCCTCCTGAGTGCTGGGATTACAGGTGTGTGCCACCATGCCCAGCTATATTGATTTTTCTTTTGCACTTTATGAACAACTGTCCTTCTCTGCACTGTCACTACCTCCAGGTCAGGACCTCATTGTCTGCCAGCCTTCACTACGTAGTTGCCATTCCTCACTTAGACTTTTTTCTATCAGTCCATCTGTAGTTCACTGCTACATGATTCTTTCTTTAAAACCATTTTCATCAGGCTAGTAATCTGCTTGAAAACCTTTGCTTTTCCCTTCTTGTGTCAAGCAAATTCTAATACTCTCTGTAATTGGGTTTTACACATGGTACTTCTTAATTCAGTCAAGCCTTTCTTCACTAGCTCTTTAATTATGCCACTTTTCCATCTCCTATAGCCAAACTTTCATTTCCTATGCTCACTCAGACTCTAGTCTAGTTCAGATCCCATCTTCTTTATTAAATTTTCTTGCTCTTTTCTCTCTTTATTCTATTTTCTATAAAAATGAAAATTATGTATATTCTTATCACATAGTTTAATATATTCCACCATAAACTGTAGCTTATAAAGCTTAAAAAATTATTTACCATTGTTTCATATGTTCATACTACTTTTATATATCGAAGCCACACACTTCCATATCTAATATTACCTAATAAAATGATAAACACAAGGTAGCAACTCAAAATTATCTGTTTTTGTTTTTTTTTAGGATGGGTCCTGAAACAATCTATGCTATTTTAATCCCATTTCTGTATCAGAAAGTTGTGACAAAATAAGTTATTTGGGGAAAAAATCGTTAATTTAACAAATCAAGTGTTGGAAAGGTTTGTAAATTAACCAAAAGATCCAAAAGAAAGCATTTCAAACAGCACATCACTATACAGTGGGAGTGAAATCATACCCAATGGATTCTGAGGGGGGTGCAGAAGGGGATGATCCAGATGTAAGGGTGGTCTCTGCTAAGGAAGCCTCCTCCTGTGGTATTGGGTGATGTTCAAAGAACTTGGAGACAAACAGCAAACTGTGAGGCAAAAACAAAACAAAACAAAACAAACCTAACTTGTGTAAAACCCAGAAGCACCAGAATGACAGAATACATAGTTAATGGAAAAATAAGGAATCAAATTCCATTTCCAGAAACAATTGCTAAATTCAATTAACTGTATTTTTGTCTAAAGGCTTATTAAAACAATTATATTGTACTTTCAAAGGGAAGCTCCAACTCTAAAGCTAATTGTTCTCTTCTGTAAATTTCTACATATTAGAGGGGGAAAACCATGCTTCGTGGTTAAAGCACTAGAAGAAAAAAGTATTGCCAAGTTAGACTACATCACTATAATTTAAAGTACAGTTAAATTGTTTGCTGAAGTAATCAGGAAAAATAAGATCTTAAGAATAGCAGCAACAACACTGACAGAAAAAGTTATGACAGACTCAGTCTAACCTATTAGAAAAACTCTGGTTTAAAGCAAAAATATATATATTTTTTGGTACCAGGGGTCAAACTGAGGACCGTGTGCTTTCAAGGCAAGCGGTGGCACCCCTGAGCTAAATCCCCAGCAGCAAAAATAAACTTTATAAAGAAACTGAGTACTATGATTTTATATTTTACTCTCATATAAAATGAAGGAAGAGGGCTGAAGGTGAGGGTGAGAAAGAGAAAGAACATAAACATAATTTGGAAAATAGAGACAGAATCAGATACCCTCATCTGCAATCTAAAAATGCAATAATCCCCTTCTGGGTATAGTGGCACACGCCTGTAATCCCAGCACTTGGGAGGCTGAGGCAGGAGGATCACTGTGAGTTGGAGAACAGTTTAGGCTACGTAGTGAGTTCCAGGTCAGTCTCAGCCACATAGTGAGACCCTGTCTCAAAAAACTAAAAAAACAAAAACAAAAACAACCCCCCAACCCAAAAAACAAACAAAAACCCCCAAAACAAAAACAATCCATTTAATTGAAATGACAAAGCATCCCCTCTCAAAAACTGTCCAAAAGTCATTTCTATGGAATAGGTATCTTTATTAATTGAAAGAGAATCTAAAATATAAATTAAATGTACAGCTGGACCAAAATTACAATTTGGGAGAGAAATGCTGGCTATACTACATGTTACTCTCTGACCATATTTTAAAAAATTCTCTGTAGTATCTACTGGAGAGAACCTCTTTATTTACTTGTAGGACATAGTGGCTTCACACTATGAAACTTTAAAAGTAAAATGGTAGACAGAAAAGAGGTTCTTCTGGGTTACTTACTCAAGCTGGTCATAATTAACACACATCAGAGGAACCTCTGTACTACAGCGCTGGTGAAATTTATAACCACATGTTTGACAGCGGAAACCCTGGAACAGCAGCTTTCGACAAAAGTCACAAAATGCTAAGGTGAAAAAAGTTTTCCGTACCTGCAAAGCAAAAAAATCAAAGAGGCTTTAAAAAATGTGCAAGAATCTCTTTGGAAATCAACATGTTTACTCTCTTGTTTAAGTAACAATTTTAAATATATTTATATCATAAAACTATCAATACAAAAAAACCCACCAAAACGAAAAACACCAGGGAGTTTGAGATAGTAGATGGGCCAACCATTTTTATCTCCTATCCCAACATCTGAATTAAAAACTCAGAAGTCAAGATGAGAGACAAAGACTAACAACTGATTTCAAGCCTGACTACATGAAAGGAGAAAAGAAGGGAATACAAGGAAAAGGAAGGTGAAAGAAGTATATGATTTAATTATTGTACAAAGAGCAGAGAAAAGCAATACTAACTAGCATTGATGGAACAAGAAATAAAGGTACACTTGTATTATTTAAAGTTATAAAGGTCTTCAATAAAAGGATTGAAAAAAGAAAAGTCGGATGTGGTAGCAACATCCCTATAATCCTAGCACTCTGAGAGGCTGAGGCAGGAGGACTGGAAGATTAAGCCCAGTCTGAGAAACTCAGTGATTTAGCAGGATAATTTTAAAGGGCTGAGGATGTAGTTTAGTGAGAAGGCTCTGAGCTCTGAGCTTATTCCCCACTAACATATACACAGAAAAAAAATAAATGGGTAGGGAAGGGCTATAATGCTATGAATAAGAGGGTTTCTAATGGAATCAGGGATCAATACTTGATGTTTAAAGTTGACAAAGAAAGAAATTTTAGCTAAAAATAATAACACATCATGAGGCCAAGGCAAAAGAATCAGCGCGAGTTCGAGGCCAGCCTAGGCTACATGGTGAGTTCAAAGCCAGCCTGAACGGAACAGAGAGACCCTGTCTGAAAACAAACAAAAGTCAATAATACAAAAATAATCACACAATGAGCTTAAAACCGAAACTAATAAAAATTAATGAATTTTCTCTGGAGGAGATTAAAGGAGGGAAGCCAGGATAAAAGGACAGAAGGGAAGAGGGAAAGAACATAAACATAACATTATAAAATAGGTGATAGAATCAGAATCCCTCATCTTTGGTCCAAGGACATAATGATTAACAACTGAAATGGCACTCACTTCTTCCAAAAACTATCTGAAAATAGTTTCTATAGGTTGATGGTCTTCATTAATTAAAAGAGAATCTATACAATAAATGTACAGCTGAACCAGAATTACAATTTGAGAAAGCAGTGATGACTATACTACATGTTACCACACCTTTAAAAACTTTTAACACACTTGACAGAAAACTCCCCAGACTTGAAGACACATGCATTTCATATTATGAAAATATAAATGTAAAGTGGTAGAGAGGAGAATTTATTACTTCTTCAAGGTAACATACATCAATACACATAACACACATTAGAAACGATGCTAATGAAATTTATAATCAGCATTAGAAGCCAGCAAGAGATCGTACCGATATAATTACTCATTATAAGCCCTTCGGCACTACTTTGAAAACCACTGATATATATTGTTTGGGAAAAAGTATAAAAATATTTATAAAAGATAAAACTATTAAGTAATTGGATGAAAATCAGAACCGAAAAACTATAAGAGAAAAACAAATCACCTAAAAGACAATAAAAACTTTTAACAAACTATCAATTTTGTTAGAGGATTAGAATATCCAGACCATCAAAATTTGTTTTAAACATTTCTTTATGCGAAACTTAAAAGACAACCTATAAAAAGTCCACGTCAAAGAGCAAGTGATCATATAAACAGAATGGTGTAGGGAGAAATCTATCTTACCAAATCCAGAAACTGTTTCAAAACAGAAAACTATTTAACTGTTTACTTGTTCTGGAAATATAATAAGCAGAACAACAGAAAACACTGAATAAAGAAATACCAAACTCTTAACAATAGTTATTTCTTAGTGATGAGAACACAGTTGATTCCTATTTCATACTTTGTTGTATAATTTCAATCATCTCCATGTTTAAAAGTTTTAATCATAAATATATTTTACAATAATACAAAAGATAGTTTTTGGAAGAAGTGAGTGTCATGACCCAATATACCTGTAGTTATATAACAACATTTATCCAGCTATATTAATATACATTACAGTTTTTCAAGCTATTCTATTACATGTAAATATTTTCATGAAACAAGAAACTGATTTAAACACCAAAATTCTACTTTCATTAAACATATTTAACGGAAAAAATAGTTATTAAAAATGTTTCACCAAGAAAATTATATCCTGACATAGTGATTCTGGGTTTTTGAGGACATATATGTGGCTTTTAAAGTGTATTTTTCTTCTCCCCTTTTTCTATGTATTACTTTCAGGGTATGTGAAAAAGGCAAATGCTTGTTTCTAGTTTTGTTCCTTTTCCATTTGTCTCTGTACATGAAATGAAAAAATACCTTCGTTAATGTTTTTATGTGGCCATTATCAAACTAAACATTTTTTAATACTGTTGGAAGAACCTCAGGAAACAAAGCATAAAAAAGTGTAAAATGTTTCCACAGGTATCTACATTTTTAATTCATCTCATCTTTTTTCTGATCATTCATACTTCTACTCACCTGATAATCTGTTCAGTTTAAGAAGCCCTCAGTTTCTCTTTCTTAATTTACTCAACTGCCTTCCTTCCTGCCACTGATCTATGTTTGAAAACTCTGTGTAACTTGTTGTGTATATAATGGAGGAAAAAAGAGAGACAAGAAAGAGGCGACAAAAAGCATGGAAGTAGGGAAAGGAGCACAACATCTGAGGGGAAAAATATGTAGTCATGCATCTGAGTGTAAATTTGAAGCAACATGTTTACACTGGTGAGGATATGTTTTTTTATAAAGTTGTGTGTATCTTCTGGGTCATAGCTTATGTTTAGTCTGGAATCTGAACATATCTAAACATGTATGGTAAAATAATGAGAAGTTCCAGCGGCACTTAGCTTAAACTAGTTTCTATCAAATGAAAAAACAGGAAAAAAGACTCAAGGAGAGAGCAATACTTAGCTACTCCACATTCCTCTTCTATCACCCTATGCTTCACAAACACACACAAGTGTGTCAGTTATGTATGCAGAAAGATTCTGCTTAGCCCTATAATGATAAGATTTAAAATATTTAAAATTAATATACCAACATCCTATTCTTTTATTATATTATAAATAAATAAATTTATATTTTTAGTTTTTCGAGACAGCGTCTTGCTATGTAGTTGAGGCTGGCCTCAAACTCAGAGCAATTCTCCCATCTCAGCCTTCTAAGCCCTGGGATTACAGGCATGTGCCACCATGCCCAGCTTTTTTCCTGTTCTTTTACAACAGATTAACTTTATTAGTTAGGTGTACTGACAGGAGGAAGTCCATAATATACTGCTGAATTTTTTAAAAAATGAGGAATATCACACAACATGACTCAATTTTTGATTTAAGAAAGGTAATGGAAAATAATGGAGGGAAGAAAGAAAAAAATAAAAAAAACTTTTACAGGTACAAGCATGTTTGTGTATACTGAAAAAAGTTTGGAAGAGTACACAATAATCTATTAAAGCAAGGAATTTTCATTTTTTTACTTGACATACTTTTACACCATTCAAAACTGTTTGCTTTTAGTAATAAACATATATTGCTTTATTTTTAAAGTTAAAAAGAAAGCATAAGGATTAAAACTTTTTAAGTACAAGTTTTTAAAGAACAAAACTGATTTTCAACTTAGGTAAAATGTCAACTACAAAATTACTCATCCATATTTCATATTATGTAAAAATACATTCATGAAAACGCAAACATTTTTGATATTGCAAAAATGTAAAGATACATACAAAATTGTGTGTTGTAAGTGGAACATTCTCCAACACTTCTACATGCAATTCCTCTCCGGTAAGCCAAGAAATATCAGTGTCCCAGCCAATTGGTTTCTTCTCTCTGAAAAAGACATAAGCCTTTCTTGATTATCATACCTAAAAATATTCACATACCTCATGCTGAAAACATGAAAACTGGTTAATGAGGGGCTAGTAATAGGGAGGTTTGGCTCCCTGATCTTCCATCATTAGAAATCTCAATGGCAATAAATTAATTTTTAAGTTTACCCCAAATAAATGTATCAGTCTTGGACAAACAGCAGGGTAAAGAGATGTACTCTTTTCTTCAAGTCAGCTCCAGAAAAGACCTACAACAGCAAAAAATGGGTTGTTCCTGGGGTCCCCATAAAAAACAAAAAACAAAAAAGAAACACAAATATGGACATCACTATCAATTCAGAAAAAAAGAGTACTGAAGATACAAAATGTCCCAAGACCTGATTCAAAATTTGGTTTCAAAATTCCGAAGTCTTGGAACAAATGTTAGACATTTTATGAAAGAAAAATAGTCCAAAACAAAATGTGAATTTTGATAAAAGTTCTGTGAAACTATGAGTTTGTATTAAAAACAAGAGGAGTGGGTAAGTATATACTACCCAAATATATCATATTCTAAATGGTTGAAAAATGGTAAAAATCTCAAACTTCAATGAAGTCATTTGATCTGAGTAACACACTACAGTCACACAACATTATCAATGGCCTATAAGATTTCTCTAGGCTTAGTATTAATTAATTAATTTGGGGGGTATTAGTATTAATCTGAATTTTTTTCCTAAAGTTGATTTTCAGCTCTCTGGGAATGGGTGATTCCTAGAGAAAACCATGAAACTTACTGTCAGATTTTTTTTTCTTTTTAAACAAAATTTCACAACACATACAAACCATACCCATCCTGAATTCTGTAAACAGCACAGCACTCTGGGATAAGACCTCTCATCATCAATGCTTTCTTTAGACTGTCTCGGACTGTAACTCCACACCTTGCAGGTACCTATGGTATCATAAATACACATAAGAGGTAAAGGGAATAGCTTTTCTTTCACATCATTAAAAAAGAAACTCAATAATTTATTTTTAAAACACCTCTAAAAATGTCATACCGATCACTAGGTCAATGCAACATCAACTCTGTATCTCACTTTCTAGCAAAGGGAAATTATAATCCAATAACTATTATTATTCACCAGTTTAGAAGGAGATTTATTTTGGTCTTTTACTAAAATTATGAAGTATTTTTAAATATGAAAACCAAAATAGTACCCACTATAATGTACACACCATTAAGAAATAATAGCTGTCAACATTTAAAGCAAAATCAATTTTGATCCAACACTGTTCAAAGCCGAAAACTCTGTAATCTTTTAATCACAATGATGGTCCTTACTGATTGACATCTTACTGACCCCTAACCTTGGTCTTAATATGCATAAGTGATACATGTTGTTTAGTTGTGTAGTACCTGTATTTTTCTGGGTTCCTGCCCTTTAGAAATCTACACATGGAACTAGAGAAGCTATCAATCAAGGGTTACTTCACCTTCAGGCTACAGATGACGTCAACTGGCTAATCAGTTTCCTATATTTCCAGGAATAGCAATTGGCCCGGGCTACACATACACACAATCTCTTCGTGTGTGTGTGTGTGTGTGTGTGTGTGTGTGTGTGTGTGTGTGTGTGTGTGTGTCTGTCTGTCTTTGTTTCTCTCTGTAAACACACAAGTTCTTCCCTAAACTGAAACTTAGGCACTGGCTGAGACAAGTTCCCAGTCCTGCTGTAGTTGCCACATGCCAAGATGACTCAAATCTGGAGTGCTAGGTGGCCACCCGTCTCACTACGCTGAGAAAATCTGGCTATAGAATAAAGCTAACACAGGGAGAAGTACAGATGACACCAGAGCAAGGAAGGACAAAGGAAAGGAGAGAGACAATTATCCCTATGCCTGGCTTTTCCCTTGTCTAATCTCCCTGGGTGAATCTGACAAGAACTAAAAGACAGGCAGTGGAAAAAGTACATGGGTAGTTTTTATTGGAGGAGGTTTGCAAGATAGGAGGGGATGTGTTAATTACAATAAAATTAACCATATCATTTCTTTCAATAACTTTAAAGTATTTAACAACCCAAGAGTTCCCAAAGAAACTGGGAATTTCTATGCATGAGAAAAAAATAGGATATAGGTAAATATAAAACCCCTGAATTTAAGTAGTGCATCAAAGAGAGGACAATCTAGAAAGTGTAGTTAGAACTGTGATTGGAAAATACAAGAGTCAGACTTTAGCTCATACAGCCATTAAAACTATCCAGCCACAACAGTGTGAAATTTTGTCATGAGGGAGAGGGCTCATCATCAGACACATTCAAGAAGTAACTGAGATGGTACAGCTGGTCATTATTCACAGGAGTCCATATTTGTGCATTTGTCTGCGTGCTAAAATTTATTTATAATTCCAAAATTAATATTTGTATTGGTTTTGCAGCTATGAGCAGAGCAGTGAAAATTTATGATGCCTGATGTAGGTTCCTTCCAGCAGGCAATGAACAAGGCAGCACTCTGTTGTCAACTTCCATAGTACATGCAAATATCACACCCATAGACCATTTAGTACCGCCACATTCTTTCTAATTTTGTGCTTTTTTGTTTAAAATACTTTCCTAGAACAGTGCTCTAGTGCTTTTTGGTGCTCTTAAGTACAAGAGCGAAGTCATGTGCCTGGTAGAGAAGTAATAAATATTAGGGAAACTTCAGTCATGAGCTACAGAGATGTCAGCCATGAATTAAATGTTAACAAATCAGCAATATATAGAAAATAAGGGGTCTTTAAACATAAACACATATAAAACAAGGTTCTGTACAGATTAACTGATGAAAACATGACCAGAGGCTCACAGGAAACTATTCTGAGTTCACAGGATTTGAAGGCCAATCGAGGGGAATGGAATGACCATAAGGTGGCAGTAGCACACATGAAGTTTAGGTGGATGATGCTGTGACAGACTTGCATGCAGTGGAGATTTGACTGTCCAGAGGCTAGCTAGGGCCAAAGAACACCAGGGGAGACAGTCAGGACATAGGGCCTTCTGTGTCTAGATAAGGCTGTTTAATGGCCTGGCAGGGAGTCTCCAGGTGAAAGAACTCCAAAGAACAAGAGCAGCTTGGAGTTAATAGCTCTGCCATTGAGCTCATCTATGGCTGGCAGATGTTGGGTGTAAAGCAGTTTTGTGGGGGTGGCAAAGGAGGTAGGCTCTCAATGACTAAAATTCTTTTTGGAAGGGTTATGCTTAAAATAATCAGATGTATTAAAAAACAGGAGCAGGCACACTTTTATGTTAACTGATAACAGTCTGCTGTGAAGAAATAAACAAGGGGCCAACACACAGAGGCTATTTCTAGCTCATTTATGTAACAGTTACCTATTTCCCTTAGGAATAATGGATCAGTATTCATTAATTTAGCATTTGCAGCAAAGTTATAGAATGTAACTACTGTGAATAATGAAAACTGGCTGTACTTTCAAGAAATAATGAATTGAAAAGTTCACTCTTTCCCTCTGTCACTCATCTGCCCACACTAATGCAGAACCCTACCCTTAGTTTTAAATTCTAGTCTATCTCATTCCATGTCACCACAGAAATCTATCTAGAGAAAGTATTATTAACTTTGTGTAATGGCTGAGAATTGGATGAAAGCCTCAGACACGATCTCTGAAACACATCTCAGAGAGTTCATGCAAAGTGAATCCCCTGAACTCAGCACTGAACCCATTCTAAGATACAATATCAAATTTCATTAGTGTGTTTAAAATATTATATACAGGGCAAGATTCAAATTCCATACTGTGGCACAAAAGGTCATTAATAATGGCCTCGGCCTGCTATCCACCCCTCTACTTGATAGGCAATTTCCTTCATGCACTCTAGTAATAGGCTCCAAATATTTAGCTTCCCAATTTTATAATTTATCTTAATGTCAAATCTTCTTTCAGGACTGATAACTAATCACAGTATTGTTTTCAAGAAAAAACGTGATATAATATATTTACAATATGGCCTTTAAGTACAACAAAGAGGTAGCCTATACTACAAAAGTCTTAAGGTATGAGCACGTTTAGAGTTGAGTCTGTCCCTTGATCATGCTGGATGTGAATGGCAAAGAACTAGTAACCACAAGACTCACAAGGGTAACATCTTACTGTTAAACTGCTGTCTTGATCACATAAAAATAAAAACTCCAGTTAATTAATTACTTCATTAGCAATTGAGGTGAGTTAAGACAGTCTCCCTATATAGTTCAGGCTAGCCTTGCACTCACTATGTAGCCCAGGTTAGCCTTGAACTTATAATCATATGTTAGCCTCCT